TACATCAATTATTATTTCCATATAACCTTTTAATTTTGGATCCTAAAGAAGAAATTATTCATTTATTGTATTAACAATTTACAAGCACCCATCTTTTCTTAGTTTGTCCTCAACTTGTTTAAATGTTGGTTATTCAGGCTGATTAATCAATTACTATTATTAGTTGAGAATAATCTTAAAGTATTTTAGATAGTTAATCCACCCTACTCCTATTGTAATTAATCCATCTCCATCATCTAAAGAACTAAATATAAATTTACCTCTTAATCAAAAAATATCATTTTTCAAAACATCTAAAAAAAAAGTTTTTATTATTATTTATTTATTAATTTAAGTTCTATGTCTGAATTACTATTTTAAAAAAATGAAATATCTAAATTAATAACTCAAAAGAAAATTAAAAAAAACGTATGATTCAAAAGCCGTGACATTATTATCAGATAGCTCTTCCTTTTGATAGAAAAATTAAATAGGGTAGGATTCAAAGGAATCATTCAAACTAAGAGATCTAACTTTAAGTGGGATCGAGTCTAATTAGCCATTAAATTTCACCAATAAAAAAGCTACAGGGTCAATTTAACTCCAGAGACCGAATAAACGTAGGGAAATACGTTCCATTTCAGTATAGAAGGAACTATCTAGAATTAAAAAAGTAAGTATTATAGACATGGAAATGAATAAAAAAATTTAGTTGGAACAAAGGCATGAAAATATAAATGGATAGTAAAAGAAAGGGACTAAAAATTATTTGCAATACCTGCCTGACCTAATATGATAATAAAAAAGAAATAAGAAATGGAATCACAGATTTTATTAATGGCGGCGGAAATTATTACATAATAGTTTGAACAAAAATTAAACTATATCAAAAAAGGAATTTAAGGATTTATTATCATTCTTGATGACTCAATTAATAATTACAAAATCATATGACAATAATTCAATTTTTCTTAATATTATAATTAATTGTTATATTTCTTAAATTGTTAAATATATTAAAATAGTCAACTTGAAATATTGGTTGATGAAATTACTTGAAGATATTGATCTTATTAATTTAAGAATTTTCATCTTATATTTTAATCTACTTAATGATTTAGATCAAAATTTGTTGTATCTTCTTAAGTTAAATGAACAATCATTATATAGTAAATGGCAACTGAATAATTTGAAGCTGTATATGATATAATAATATAAAAATAAATTTTAATTGTAAAATTGATTAAAATAAGAGAGAATATACTTTTGAAATATTTTGATTAGATTTTGTGTTTGATAATACTTTTGATGTTAAAATAATTGAAGCAAATACAAATCGATCAATAAAAATTTGCTTTCCTTGTTGTCTAAATAAATACCTAAAAAGTTTTGTTAATGCCTCTAAGTATTTATAATAATAAATATTTAAAGAATTGCATTAATTCCAATTGTTTCCTCCTCCAAAAATTTTTTAAAAATCCTAAAAGATTATTTTTGAAAATTATCTTGATAATAAATTTGAATTAGTTCTTGATTAAATGACAGATAGACCACTCATTACTTAATCATAACCTAATTGTATTAATTATTTATTAATAACCATAGATGATATTGGATTAATTCAAGAAGAATCTGAAGAAGAGATTATTATTAATATTATTTAAATATAAATTACTTATATCTTTATAGTTGATATTTTATTTTTTTTGAAAACAAAAAAGTAACAGGATAATGATGTTTATTCTAAAAATTAGTATTACCCTCTTTAAATTCTTATTAGTAGACATATAATCCTTTGCTCGTTTATATTACTCTTAAATGATTTATTTAATCTTTAAAGAACAATATCAGCAATGATTAAATAAGATAAATATGTTAAGATATTATTTACTTAATTGAAAGATTTTCATTCACTTTAAATGGGATTACCTTTTTGACTAGATTTAACTTTCAAAGATTTTGCAAGAGTAATCATTAATAATAATGAATATTAGGAAAATTCATAGTAAAATTCAGCATTTTTTAATAAATCAGATTCTCTTTAAGGTTTAAAAATTTCATGCTTATTTTTATTTAAAGATAATTATTATAGTAATGAAAAACCATTATTTACACCAATTTAATAAGTAATACCTTTTTATTATAATGTTTATTTTTTAAAATATATGAATAAACTTTTACTTGAAATATCGAAATTTATATCTACATCTATAAAACATGAACTTGAAAATAAAGAATAGAAAGATTAAAAATATTGTTTTGAATTATTATTTCTCAAAATTAAATTATACTTATCAATCTTTATGTCAAGGATATCATACTCATTAACCAAGTATTGATAAACTTAACGAATTAAGATAGATGTTAGATTCTTAGGTAAATTAACATTATCAGAAGAAATAAAATGAAAAAGAAATTAATTCTTTCTTAAATAGTAAAGATTAATAAATATATGAACATCCTAAACTAAAAAATATGATTTGTGATTAAAAATAAGCATTAAAATGGATGTTATGGAGAGAAAGTATCATAATTAATCCAAAAGATTACGATTCTCAAGATAAAAGTTAATTATTCCTTAATGGGATGAAGGATTTTTAGAAATAGAAAAATAATTAATAAAAGCTATTAACTTAAAGGAAAGCACTTAATTTATTTTTTTTTTTAAATAGCTTAAAATTCATCAATTTTAAGTTAAAAAAAAATGATCATTAGAATCACATTATGTAAAAAAATAAGATTAATAATGAGTTGAAATATGGGCCATGTTTAATAAACTCGAATTAAGGCACTTATTTAATTTAGCAAAAATTGTTTTATTGTAATTTTGAACATTGCCAAAACTCTTAATATATATTTTTGCTTTATATCTACTTGTTCAAAAAAATAAGAGTCGAAATGATGGGCCTTTAAAATTAAGTTTTTGATTTAATTTTATGTTTAATTAAAATTTAATTATCCATATATTTTTCATTGTGCAGAGAATTATTATTTATGTTTCAGAATGGTAATCTCTTTCTAAATAATCAAGATTACTTTCATATTTAGATTGTTCAATTATTTTTAGGGGAAAACTAAATATAAAATCTCCCTTTTTATTGTATTCAAAGCATAAAGGAAAAAAAATTGATTTTTACTATTTTTCGAAAATTTATCGATTGAGTTTCATTTTTGTTTAGTTCTTATTTTATTTTTTGTATCAACAAAGAAATTTTTTGCATCATTTAATAAAAAAATTGAAATTTAATTAGAGATAAATTAAGAGGATTTTATTAAAAAAAAGTGGGAAAAATTAAATAGCACAAAAATATGAGATTTTATCTTCAAATTTAATATTTAATTAAAACTATATGAGATTATTATTAATACTCAATAACAAAAATTTATTTTTCATGATTGCAAAAGATTAATATCTTGTATCTTTAATTCGATTAATCTATTTTGAATAATTTATGTGTTATTTCTCAATTAAACTGATTAAAAATCTTTAATTTTTGATATTTAAATTATGTCATAACTTCATATAGTTATCTTAATCGTCAAATTCATCTAAGGAGAATCATAAGTCCGAATATCAATGAATTAAGATTATCAATTAATGACTAATTCATTTTTGATTAATTCATAAGACTATTAAGCAAATTCCTATTTTTCATATGGGATATGGAGTAGATATACCCCTTTGGGAAGAAATAATTAAGTAGGAACTATTGGAATACTTGATAGCTCATGTTTTCATCTACACAACGCTATGGGGTAATCTACAAAGTTATTAAATTTCATATTATTTGATTGCCTTGAATACCCAGCTTAAATAATAAAAAGATAGATCTTATTTAAAGCATCAGATGAGAATTGGTATTCTTATGAAGCTATAATAAATAATTTCATGTATGAATATACTTGGCATTATTTTGAAATTACATCATGGCCCTTTGAAAAAAAACTTCAATTAATTTTTATTTAAGACAAAAAAACAGTTTTAAATAAAATAATAGATGTTAGAATTCCATACAGCGATATTGATTTACAATTAACTTTTGGAGGTGGATTATTGATAGATCAATATCAAGATATTCCGAATTTAGAAAAAGGTACAAAATTCTCTTTTTTTCCTGGAAAGATGGAATTATAGCCTATTTATATAGGGATGTATAAAAAGCTAAGTGATTATTTATTAGTGACAAAATTATTTACTGTTGAATGTCAATGTCAATTTAATTCTGTTAGGTATGCTAACGATAAAGATTTGAAATTTTTGGAATCATATTCATTTACATCTTAATATCCTAATTGTGAAAATTTTGGTTTAGCAACTTGGATTAGAATAACTAATATTAAAAGTGACATTTCAGAATTTACATATAATGTAATGAAATTGTCAGCAACTTTTAGTAACTCACAATTAGCAAATGAAAATTTGGCAGCATTTTAATTATCATATTTTTTATCACCACTAAGAAATAAAATATTAATAAGTACTTACAGTTATACATTCCCTTTGGTGAATTTAGATTTCTCTGATAATCCTTTTCTCATATAAAGAGAAATTGATCTTTATAATGATATAAAATTGTGGCATTATTTAGCAGTAGGTGTAATTAACAATGAATTTACAATTTTTATCACATTTTATGAAGATTTTCTGGAATATTACTATGAAATGTACGAATCAGTAAATCATTTTCATATGGTAAGATATTAATTAGAATATGGAAATATTAAAAAGTAATCTAATTATTTTGATGTTTAATTTAAAAATTTGAATTTTGATAATTGTCCATTTTATATTGATTATTTTAATTTTTGTCATTTTAGCTGTGAAAGATGTGATGGTCCAACAGATACAGATTGTTTATCTTGTTCAGAATCTTCAAATCGTATATATATAAGAGAATATAAAACCTGTATATGTCCATATGATACTATTGATGATTATTAATGTAGAGGATTTGAATAATATAAATTTTCTCTTAATTAAATTGACGCAAATCAATCAGTGGAATGTTTATTTGGATATTTTGAGTTTGAAGACTAATGCACAAAATGGTAATAATATTTACATCATATTATAGTCCATCAATTATTTAAGATAATTTTTTAACATGTTTAGATTGCTTATTTAATCCAAATACTTGGTCTAAAATATTATCTTGTGAAATTAATTTATACTTAAATGATGAAGGTTAAACATCAAAAATTATAAATTAAGAAAAATAATACTTTATTTCAGATGGAAATGAATTCAAACCTTGTTTAAAGTGTAAAAATTATGAAGATACAAATAATTCATTTGAAGATTCTAAGCAAACTATCAAAGAATTTCAATATTTCTGTTTAAAAAATTCTATTGACTTATTTGTTCAAAATAAAGATTGTTTTTAATGCTACATATAAGACTGTAAACTTTGTAGAATCACACTATTTAAGCAAGAATGTATTATTTGTTGGTAAGGTTCTAAACTCATTAATGGAGAGTGCTAAATGTAGGTTTTTATACTACAACCAAAAATTAATTGCGTTTAACCTTATTATCTAGATTATCAAAAGAACTGTAAATTATGTACTATAGAGAATTGTAAATATTGTTTTGAATATATAAGTAATGATTTAACTAAATCTACATTATATTTGAATTTTAATTAATTTGATATGAATGAATATCATAAAATAGGATGTGCATAATGCGAAGATAATTTTATATTTGATTTTCAAATTGGAAAATGTCTATAAAAATAACCATCAATAGAAAATTGTTTAAGATCTTTTATTAATTTATAAAATATAGAAGTATGTACTTTATCAAAATATGACAATTTTAGTATAGCTCCTGCAATTAGTAACTGCTTAAACTATATCTAAAATTGCAAATAGTGTATATTAACCCCAGAAAAAGAAATTAAATGTGTGTTGTGTAATGATGGTTTTACAGCATCTATATAAACAGGATAATGTTATTTATGTTCAATTCTAAATTCTAAAACATGTATAGAAGGATAGGCTGCACTAAAAGATGGCTGGGTATAATAGATTTAAAGTTTTTTAATGCAATTTCTTAATAATTATTTTTATCCTACAACCAAAAATTTTAATAAAATAGCTGAGCTACCTTAAGAATGTTAAAATGGATTCAAACCTATCTTCACAATTTATTGCCATTAATATTGTGAACCAAGATGTTTATCTTGCATTGAGCATAACTAATAATTTTTTTGTAATTAATGCCCTTTAAATTATTATAAACAACCAATTAGATCTTCAGAAAAAGGAAAATGTCTTCAATGTAGCTAATTATGCTTAGTATGTTAATCAAGAACGCCTGAAGAAATTAATGTATAGATTTTATATAAATTAGAATATAAATCCTAGCTTTAAAATCACAGATTCTAATTCTTTTTACACACATAAATGCTTATAAAAAGCAAATGATTAAAATATTGTTATAGATCCATACACTAATTTAGCAAAATATTGCTATCAAACTTAATGTATTGATACCATAACTTTTAAGGTATTTTAATATTATTTTTTAGATTGATTTTGATTATAATAGTTTTATTGAAATTTTTAGTAAAGAGTTTTATAATTATTATGAAAATTTGATTAATATTATATATTGCAATGAATTTGGAATAAAAGAACTTTTTATATAAGTTGATTTTAAGAAATTTAATATGAGAGAATGCAATCTTATATAAAGGATTTTAATTGAAAACAATTTTAAATAGAAAATATTTTCTCTTTAAAAAACCCACTTGTAACTTATTGGAACTTCTGATGAATAAAAATAATTCATCTCTTACCTTGAAATATAAAATTTTGACTCTGTAGAGATAAATTCAGCTTATTTTAAAATTTAAGAAGAATTTTTTATTTCTTTAACAAATGACAGAAATCCAATTGAATTTGCAATAATGAATACAATCATTAATTCTAAATAATTTAATCAATTTGAATATTCCTTAAAATTAAACAATTATAAAAAACTAACAATAAAAAATGTGACATATGATGGATTGTTAATCATAAATTAGTCCCTTTTTGATTATCTTACATTAGAATTTGATAGTTAAATATTAATAGAAAATCTAATAATTTAGAATTCCTAATTTAACTATTCTAATTTATTTACTTTTCCTAATTTAAAAACCACTATAAAAATTGACCATTTAAAAATTAATAATTGTTTCTTTTAAAATAGTGCAGTATTTTCATTCTCTTCTTATTTAACTGCAAATGTTGATATAATTTAAATGTAGGTTTTAAATACTTATTTTGTTTTCTCAACACTCATTTATATTTCAGGCAAAGTAAAGATTACTCTAAGTTTGTCATCATTCATTAGCAACTATATTTATAGTTCAAATATTTTATTTTTAGATTAAACATCAGAAATATCTTAAATTTAACTTGAATCAAATTAATTTATTAATTCTAAATTTATTTAAATTATTTAAACCCAAGAAATAAAATCTCAAATAAGAATGGACTTGGTTTTAATACAATTAAATAAATTTTAGGATTCAATGTTATTTGAGATTGACTTTGATCATTAGGAAAATGAAATAATTTTTTCAAATTTATAGTTTTTAGAAAATGAGGGAACAGATTTATAAACTTTATCAAAAAGCTTATTTTATATAAACTGTTAGTATTTTAAGCTATATAATTGTACTATTAATTAATAATTTTATTTAAGTTATTTTTAATTATTTGAGGTTTTTAATATAGATATTTAGAATGTAAATTATATAAATTCAGCATAATTTTATTAAGTTCCATTAAATTAAAATTGCATTCAAAGATTCGAAAACAACTAATTATTTTTAATATAAGGTTTTGCCACTCTTTAGATGAGGCTTATAAAAATTTAAAACTAATTTACAAGTGATAAATCATTCATTTAAATTTTAGCTAATGTTTTATAATTTTATAATGTAGATTTAACAATTGATATTTAGGATATCAGTTTTATTGGAAATATAATAGAAAAATTAACTTTACGAGATTTAATTTCATAAATGACAATTTATGCAGAAAAGAATTTAACAATAATTTTGAAAAATGTCTATTTTACAGAAAATTTTTTGAATTAAAGAATAGATGATTCTTCTTAGAATTCTGCTGGTCTAATTTTTATAAATTCTTAAAAAAGTGTAGTTTATATGGAAAATCTAACTTGTTTTTAAAATGCTATAACAAATTCATCAACCACTTTTATATATATTAATTCAATCTAAGTTAAAATTTTTGGTTTTTCAATATAAAATCATAATATTCTCTAAATTGAAACTTGGAAGAGATATTATTATTTTAATTTTGAAATTAATTTGAATGAAGATTTAGAACATAATTTTATTAAATCAATTTTCTAAATTTAAAATAAAGGAGGAGCACTTTAAATTATTACTTCTAATTTATTAATAAAATAAGGATTATTTTAAGATATACTCTCATATAGCTCAGTTATTGATCTTATTATTTAAGAAGTAGGGATTGTAAAACTTGAAAACTTGAATATATAGTCAATAGAAACTACTTTAAATGATGAAAGCTAAGGTTTTATCTATATTTAATCTAAAAACAGCTTAAATTTTTAACTTTTAAATTCAAATTTTTAGAGAGTTTATAATAAATTAAAATCTGCTATTCTCACAATAATCCCATCTTTGTTTAAGAATATGATAAAGATTTAAAATGTCAATTTCTATAATTGTATTTCCTTAGTAAATCAAATAATAAAAATTGATTTTTCTTATATATAATCAGATTTATATCAAATCAAATTAAAAAATCTGACAATAATTCAAAATGATTAAGCTTGGATTTAATATTTTCAAAAGATTTAATAAATAAATAAATTTGATATAGATAAAATCAATAAAAATAATGCTGCTATAAATTTATTTGGGTGTAATCTCATAATAGATGGTTTGAAAATTGAAGGAACATTCATTTCATCAATTATTAAAATATCAGATTCATCAAAAATCATTATTTCTAATTGTGATTTTTATTAAATCAAAACATATTCAACTTTCAACATTTTACACTTTAGTTAGTAAGAGACATAAAAATCATCTATCTATTTATAGAATATACAGTTTCGAAATAATAAATTAATCTCGAAATGGGTATATGATGACATAATAATAAAAAAAATTTAATATACTTTTCTTGATAATTAATGTAACAAAAAATCAATCCCTTCACCTTTTAAAATAATTGAATCAAGTCTATCAATATAAGAAATTTTAAACTTTTTAAATTAAAATATTAAATTATCTGGTTCCTTAATTTATTTGTAAAGTATTTTGGTTGAAAATGTAGTATTTCAATAAATTTAAATCATTTAAAACAATTGTGAAGGATGCCTATTGGGATTGATTTACTTTTAGATTGTTTAATTTTTTAAATTTAAACTTACAGATATGAGTTTAATTCAAAATTCTGTAGGTAGTTATGGATGTCTGTATTTTAATTAGGTGAATTAACTTAATAATTAAAAAATAAAACTATTAAATTCTTTATTTTTACATAATCAGGGTAACACAGGTACAGGAATATTTTTGAATTAAGCAAGTATTGAAATTTTGAATTGTAAGTTTAGATAAAATAATGCTATATATTTTGGAGGAGCTATTTACATGTAAAATTGTACGAATGACTTTAAAATAATTAAATCAATGATAATGGAGAACAATGCTTATCAAGGAGGTGGGATTTTTTTCAATGGTAGTAATTAATTAAATGCTATAAATTTTGAAAATTCATTAGTTTAGTAGAACAATGCCTTATTATTTGCCAATAACTTAGTAGAAGATCCTCATCATCTGTCACTTTTAATAAATGGTAAAGAAATGGGTTCAGTACAAAATAAACTTGATAATATTACATCAAATATTTTGAAAATAAAATCATACAAAATTGTAGAATAAGGATAATAACAATCCACAAATATATTAATACTCCCTAGCAATTAAATAATTTCAAACTATAAGATTTTCAATCCTTAAAATTTAAATTATATAAAATTTATTTATGAATTGTAACTTAATTATAAAAATACTTTAAATGAAAAATTACTAAATTTTTCAGATTCATTTTGTACACTTGATTTAACAAATTAATCATTAAATAATTCATTAAGTAATGCTCAAACTATATTTTATAATTAATAAATAGATGGCTTTGATTTAGGAGCATAATCTATTAGTTTTGATCCTTACATAAATAATAGTCAAGTATTTAAATTAAAAATTAACTGTTGCTCTAAATTTTATTAAAAAAATTTACAATACATAATAACTGGGAAAACTTTTAAATGTCAATTAGGAGAATTCTATTATAATGAGGGTTGTTCATTATGTGAACCTAGTTAAGGATTCTATTCTGTTACATACAATAATACAAAATGCTCTATTTTTGACAAAACTAAATTTTTAAATATAACTTCAAATTAAATTTAGTTGTTAGAAGGTTATTGGAGACCAAATCATATGTCAGATTAAACTGAGTATTGTTATAAAAATTAAGAGTTTTGTGAGGGAGGTTGGAAAGTTGGAAATGATTTGTGTAAATTTGGTCATATTGGGGCATTATGTGAAGAATGTGATATTTATAATATAAAAGGAGAAGGAAAGTTTTTTAAAATAACTTCAGATTAAATTTGTACAGAGTGTAGTGATGCTGTATTTGATAGCCTGTTACCAATATTTTTTGCTTTCATATGGTATCTAATAGTGTATTAAATATAGGTCAATTTTATAAATTATTTTATCTTTAAGAAGTATTGATAACTCAAATAGATTATTTTATTCTTTAAAAATGAGATAAAGCTAAAGACTGAGCAAAATACTATTCAAATAAAGTTAAGGTATTTTTTAATAATATCTAAAGATCATTAAAGTATTTTGATAAAGATGTTTATCAATTATATATGGATTTTTTCCCTCATATTTACTTTTAATATTTAATTTTCTATATTTTTTGGTTTTGTTGATAAAGCTAGTAATATATCCTCTTTTATGGCAAATAGTTTGGAATGCCAAATTTCAGAAATAAATAACATTTAATTAATTTATTCTAGAATAATAACTATGTTTATTATTGTATTGATATTATTCCTCATTATAAATGGAGGATTTTTGATTCACACTCTGGTACATCATAAAATAATAAATAATAGCTTAATTTCAAATACAGCAACTTATCTTTATATTGCTAATTATGCTGAATTTGCCAAATAGTACTATATTTTTTATTTATTAGATATGCATCTTTATTATCAATAAGAAGAATTTCTAACATTGATTTCATTTAAGGAAATGTATCTTTAGAATTTTTCTCGAATCCTCATTAACAATGGATTTTTTTGTTTATAATACCAGGTTTCGTTATTATTGGTTTCTTAATTCCCTTTCTATTTTTTACATTTTTATTTTATCATAGAAAAAAACTAGACTAAATTAAGTTAAGGAAACATTTATGTTATATGTTTAATGAATATTAAGATGAAAACTATTTTTGGGAATTTATCAAAATTTGGTCAAAAATTATTATGATTTTTATTTTAACTTATTTTGAAACGAATATTTACTTAAAAGGATCACTTTTAGGTTTGAGTCTATAGATTTATCAGGCTTTAGTCTTGATGAATAAGCCTTACAATAATTGGAAATTTAATAATCTTGATTTGAAGTCTGCTTAGATTTGCTCAATCACTATATTTTTATCTATATCAAAATATGCTAGTCAATAGTAAGGAAATAAATTTTGGTCAACAACACTTTAGTTTTTGATAATTTTCCTATTTTTTAGGCTATGTTATCTTTTTATTTTGGACATCTTAAAAGCTTATCACAATATATATAAAATAGATTTCTTAGTTTTAATTTAAAAAATGCTTAAATTTTGTGCTCCAAGATCATTCTTGAGAAAATTCATTGAAGGGAAACTAATTTAATCCAACAAAAAAAAGTAATAATTAAATTAAAATTTTTATTTTTTAAAATAGTATTTATTCTCATAATCAAAATCAAAAAGTAAACCAAAATATAATCATAAATAGATATTTAAAAAAATATTAATATAAATAAGTCCTAGAACTTTAGAAACAGAAAATTTAGGAGTTTGAGATTCACTTAAAGTAAATTAAATTTGAAAGGAATGAAATTAAACAATATACATTGAAATAACAAAAAATATTATTAAATTGAATTAATATCTAACAGTTTATCATTATGGTTTGAAAATGAGATTTATTTTTATTGAGAATTATCAGAGTGTAATTTCAAAAAGGTATTTATGGAATTCCCAATCTTCCTTCATCATCATATTATGTATGAATTATCATTCCAGTTAATAATTTTAAGATCATCTTCAGTATCAAATGGTTAAATAGTTTTTTTACTTCAACTTTAATATTTCTTTCAAAATCTTTCAATAGAATGAAATGCACTTTAATATCTTTATAAAAATGTTATCTATAAGAACAAGTCTAAATTATTTAACTTTATTCTTAAGGTATTTAAAAAATTAATTGAAGGATATTTTAACATAAATATAGTTGTTGAAGCATGAGGTTATTTTAAAGGCTTGAATAATAAAATAATTAAATTACACTAGAACCGTGATGACATATAGCTAATTTCGATTGACTATTGATCATAAAAATATTTGTTCAAACAGTTTGTGATACATCAT